ACCTTAATATTTCCCACCCCAAAAAGGTAAGTTATAAAGTAAAATTTCTAGTTTTAAATTGATATCTTACACACAGCAATTAAACCATATTCTAACAAGCAATTCAAAATTAACTGCTTCCCAAATATTTAACACTTTATATCTTAAGACTATTCCTTTAACTGACAAGAGTGGAGTCACTTATTCAATGAAGAAGCTTCAAATGGCTCCTTTAGAAGTTAATAAAATTTGTATTTAAAGACAAAAAGGACTTAATACTTAATGGCTAGTCTGCATTGAAAAGTAAAAGGAAAACATTATTATAAAATTATAATAGGCTGGTATGGTAACAGATGCCTGTAATCCTAGTAACTTGGGAGGCTGAGGCAGGAAGATCACAAAGTCAAAGGCAGCCTTGTCAACTTGGTAAGACAGTGTCTCAAAACAAAAATTTTAATAGCTCAGTGATAGAGCACCCCTCGGTTCAATCCAACACCACAAATAATAATAATAATAATAATAATTATTATTATTATTATTATTAAATAGATTATGGCCTAATTAAACTTTGAATTCTTCTTTAGGACCAAGTTCAGACTTATAAAGTAAGCAACTGATTAATGACTCAATTGGTTATACTATTTTTTTTATAACTTAACCAAAATTTAAACCGCTTTAGGATTTTTTAATAGGAAGAGACTGATATTTAGAATTTTAAAAAATCTCCAGATATTAAAAATACATACTAAAGATAAAGTCTTTCATTTATTTTGTAAACACACAAGTTCTGGTATATGCAAAACAATATACTAAGCAGCTGGATGTGAAGGATTTCAAGATGTATCTCACAACTCATATCTATGATATGAAACAATTCAACAAAATTTTTAGTGAGCCAAACTCTCAAAATACAAAAATGTAGAAGACTAGATACTTATTCTTGTAAGTTTCTTACAAATAATATTCAGTAAGAAGTGTTTTAATAACAGAAGATAGGCAGACCATACCCCAGAACAGAGAATCTCTCTATTACCATACTATTACACAAGTTCCAAAAACAGAAAGAGCCCTTCTGGTTGGCAATTCGATTTGAACCTTGAAGAATGACTATGATTTTTACTGGCAAAGAACAAAGGAAGAATATTCAAGTGGTGCAAAAAAAGGGGGGGGGGGTCAAGATCTAGTTCAAATGAAAGTTAACCAACCTCTATAAAATAAAGAATACAAAACAATAAGGATGTATCAAGCATAAGCAAATGAGAGAATGCTTTAAATTCAAGTTTAAGGAGAGGAGTGAACAATCACAGTGGTACTGTTATATATCTTAGATTGAACCAGTAAGAGAAAATAACAAAGTTATTACCATACTCTAGGGATAAAATTAATAAAGGGGAAAAAATAAAAGAAGTAGGTTGATAATGGTGGCAGGAAAAGAACTGATGTAAAAGTAATTGTGAAGAAAAGACTGAGTCAGAAGATTGACTGATATATGCAGACAAGAGGCATGAGTAAACAACAACTAAAATGTTTAACTTGACCTAGAGATTAATGACATCATTAACAGAAACAGAGGCATCAATGAGAAGAGCAGTGTTGGTGAGGAAAGATGCTTCTTTTTAGGCTGCATTTATACAACATTAAACAAAATTCCTGACAAGAATGTAAAACTGTCTAACAACCAAATTTACAGACTGGAAAAAGGGAAGTCTAAAGATATGAAAAATATATGTATCTCTAATGTTGAATAGATTATAAAACTAAATTAGATGAAAATCTATACTTGATCAAGTAGAACTGTTTTTAAAAAATGCCAAAGGTTAATGTAAATGTAGTAGTCATTCTGTGGCAAAGCTGGTGGACCTGCATTCATTGTATTATTACCTAAATATAAAATCACAACACTTAATACTATTTCATTTAAAAACCAATACATCAGAACAAAAATGAGGGATTGGTGATATGCAGAAACATGAAAACTGGAAATTGACTTGGAAGCCATGGCACAGAGAAAAAAGATTTAAGGAAAAATAAAAAAGCTAAATTCAAAATTGTGGAAGAAATCTCAGTCCTGCATTTTATGCACACCAGCAAGGATCAGCAAAAGGCATTCTATATATTCCCTATTAATCTAAATCTTTATAAAGTATGCTAAAATATAATCACATACTGTAAAACTCTACCAGGCAGCTTTAAAATCAAAAACCAATTTTTGCTTACTGATTAAACTGAAATTGTACTCCAGATCTCAGTTCTAAAAAAAATCAGAAATTTATATCATATGCTTGATGTGTGCTCTTTTCCAGTTGGGCAGAGAGAAGGAAGGCTACTTTGGAGACCAAGAGAGAAATTTAATTAAAAACAGTACTCTTTCTACTATATGAATGACTTTTTATATAAGAAGAGATAGCTATAAAATAAGTATCAAGACAGCTCATCCAACCAATTAATAAACTTTTAAATATAAGCTCCTTATATTTAAATGCAAGGAAAACATTAGAATAACAAATATGTTTATGGGCTATGAAGTTCCCAAAACATTCTCCTTACAATGAAATTTAGAATATTCTATAAAAACTAAAAAGTAAGTGAATTTTCAAAAACACTAACCAATAATTAATCTAGGAAAAACATTTCAGGTATTCTATGATCTTATGAGAATTTAAGAAAATGATTCAATAAGTATTCAACAAATCAGTAGGTCATTTTGGTATTAAGTATTTAAAACAAGCAGCATTCAAGAGATTTCTTAAAAGCTTAAAATCGTTTTGTGGCTCTTTACAAAAAAGTTTTTTTAATCACCTTTCACTATCTGGTATCCTGAATTTGCCCAGAACAAACTCTATGCACTCACAGTTACAAAGAGAAAAAGGTACAAAATAAATGAGAAATCAAAGTTAAGAAAACATAATAAAAATTGCATTGCTTGATCTTTTCAAGACTTTGGCCTCACTGTTCATGGAATGAGCAAATAAATTACAAAAAATGGTTTATGCAAATGGTATATACTTAGAAACTTCTGCTTAAGCAATGTCAACTACAAAACTCCCAATAAAAACTGTATCTACATCACAACAAAATGACTAACCACAGAATTCAATTAATCAAGGAGTCAATGGTAAGTCTTTGCAACATGTGCAAAACTGAGTTTTTAAGAGACCCTAAGAAGGCCATTACCTGTATTCCCTCTTACTATTTAAACCAGTATTATATTAACATAGTAGAAAGTTTTCCTCTTCCTCTAAGCCAATAAAATTGGGTTCTTCCATAACAGTAGGTTAACTTTAAATTTCTGTTTCATAATTTTAATATATTGACATGAACCATTATCCAATTATCCTGACCTCATACATACAACAAGTCTTTCAAAATCAATTTCATATTAAAACATGTGAATGTTCTACTTGGAAACAAATTTGTAAAGATTTTTTTTTTAATGTTTTTAGAATGTAGAGTTATACTGCCTAAAATAAAGTTCAGCCTAATAAAAAGTTTGCTATACATTAGAAAACCTTAATTAATGGAATACAGAAAGATCTAAAGACCATGTTATATTTTCTCTGGGTGCTACATTCTGAACTCCAGATTTGTTCTGCAATTTGCCAATCATTTCAATCCATCCAGTCAACTCTGTAAACAAAGGCTACATGCCAAGTTCGATATGAGAATTTGATTAAATAAAACTTAAAATGGTCATCATTCACTTAAACAGGAAGCAGTAAAACGGAAAATACCACCACACACCTTTTTTACAAAGGCATCAAGTTAATATTCACGAAATAAAGGCTTAAGTTTCGAACTCTCAAACAAGTTTTTACTAAAGCATTACTCAAAATAACTCTTCGATCTTCCATATATAATAAAGGCAAGTTTGACATTAGCCCCAAAGTCTTTGAAGCCCAAGAGATTTTCTAGTCATTCCAAATTGTCCAATAAGAAAAAAAAAAAAAAAGGAAAAAGTCTATGTTATGCCACCTATTACCATCACTTAAAAATTGCTTTTTATGCAGAACTCTACGGGTTGTGTTGCTTTTGGCCTGTTAAAGGCAAAGCAACATTATCTCTGGATTGCCAATAGTTTCTCCTTATTTGGCTAACATTGAGAGATCCCAATCAGACTACTATAAAACTTTAACATGCACAAAGCATCCATTTTGAGAAAAGTTTGTGACCAGCTTTCTCCCCCCCTCCGCCCCCCAAGAAAAATCAGAGCTTGGTAATTGGCTTTGAAGAGTGCACGATGTTTATTCTTTTTCTAGCCTCAGTGCACACCCCAGGACCTAGGGCTCAAGGATCTCTGACACTGCGGCAAACTCTTCGAGCACCGGACTCAATATGTTCCGGTCCGGTTGTGGGCAAGCCCTTTGGGAACGCTTCTTTACCTTACACAATCCAATTCCCCCTCTTTCAGCCAGTGCAGATCAGCTAATTACACCCCGTTTTCCCCTCCCCAGTGACCAAGAGCAATAAAGGAGAAAACAGGAAATCGTTCGCTCAGGGCACTCAGCTTAGGACTCCTAATGACTATTATTATCATCATTTGTAATAAGCCCTAAAAAGTACAACAAATCCAATGCCCACCTACAAGCCAAAGACGTCCATCTGCCCAAGCGTCCCTAATGTCCCTTGTTGTCGCTTTCTTCAGCACCCCCCTCCCATATATCTCTGACACTGGGGCCCCGGCACACCCCACTACACCCCTCCCAGTCTCGACCCCAAACACCAGACACACGTCCACAAACGGCTCTGGAGCCCCAAGAGGATCGTAGACCCCTTTCTCCTATGGCCCGGAAATCACCCGGTTCCCAACTCCAACAGCAACCGGTCTGAAGGGGGCCTCAAACCCAGCGCCCTCGCTCCACTAGTCCTCTTGCCCTCTCCCTCTCGGGAAGCCGCCCCCTCACCCGCAGCTGGGAGTCTCCCGCCGCCCCCAGCCTCAGGAGGTCCGTGGACGAGGGGAGGCCTCGACGTGAGACCGACCAGGACCCTTAGGGTCGCAAGACCAGGCGGCGGGGCGCACAGACCTGATGGAGGGCAGTAAGTCCGTCCACATTGGCGTAATTGATGTCGGCGCCGCGGTGCAGCAGCTTGAGAACCTCGTCCGTGTCGCCGCTGGAGCAAGCAGCCAGGAAGACGGCGCCATCGTCGAACTTCACCTTGGTCTTCTGGCGCTTCACCACGGGAGGCTCGAGGTCGGTCTCCGAGCCGATCCAGCGCTTCAGCTGCTCGTTCCGCTTCTGCTTCGCGTCCGCCATCTTCATCCCCTCTCCTGCCGCCGGGTCTTCTTATCGCGAGGGGGGGGAGGGGGAGGCGGAGAGGGAAGAGCGGGGAGTCAGGGGGTGTGTGTCTGTTTCTATGAGTGCAGGCCAGAGGAGGGCTGGGAACCAGGAGGAGACACTCGAGACTTCCAGTATCCCACAGAGCACTGGGGCGGTGTGCCCGACCGAGCGGACCTCCCTTCCTACCACAGAAACCCTCCCGCCCCCAGCACGGCCACCCGTCACCGGCGGCCAATCTAACGTAACTTCGCGAGATCCGGGCAGGGAGGCGCCCTTCGGCCAGTGCGCATGCGCTCTGGACCTAGACCCGCCCCAGGAAGAGCGCTCCCGCGAACTGCAGCGGGGGCGGTCCAGCCACCGGAGGGAAGCGGGTGTGGCCCGGGCAGCCCGGGCTGCGGGGGCCGGGGCCAACCTGGAAGGGAGGAGGCAGGGAAGGAAGGTTGTCCTGCCCAGCTGAGGGTTCCGGAAGCCAGCAGTGAGGCTGCAAGGCTCTAAAGGGCAGACCTGCCTCCGGGGCTGTCTCAGCTATGCTGGGTCGTTTGCTCAGGGCGGAGGATTTTCCTATTGGCTGCGTTATTTGAATGGAATAGAAGAGTCGTGAATTAGGTGCTTGTGGTCGCGCTTTCTGAGGAACTGAGAAGAACTTGAGCACCTTATTATTGATAGGCACGTTTAAGAAAGTGGGGTCTGTGTTGCTGACGGCTTTGGTGGTAGTTATCGAATGACCACCTATTGACAAAGTTACCTGCGGTAATTGCAGTGGCTTCCTGCCAACACCCACTGTAGAAACGTCTTTCCTCTTATGCTTATTTGTTATTGTTTTGGTTTTCCTCTCTCTTTACGCTTATATTAAGTCTTCTTCCCCTTCCTTCAATGCTTTAAGTCTGTGTGGCACTACCAGTGAGCTTAGCTCAGCCTTGTTAACTGGTCCTGACCTTTTAAGGGATTTGTGGTTCCAGCTCCACTGCTTTCTAAGGAGGAGTAAGACCCAGTTGCGTTTACATTCAAAAGGCATGTTAATAAAGGCAATTAGTTCAACTGATATATATTGAATACCTACCCGGCAACCCGTGACTTAGTAGGCACTGAAAATACAATGGGAAAAATGACTTCACGTGCTCAAAAAGACTAATTTATCTTCATCAAGAAAGAATTTTTAACTTTGCCTTGTATGACCACACGCGCGCGCCTACACACAATTCATATTACTGATGCCTTATGAATCATTTATCAGCAATCACTACCGAAAGATTTTTTTCTAATAACCCCTTGTTATCCACTATTTTTAGCGCATTCAATGCCAAAGTGAGTTATAAAACTTCACCGTTCAATGGAAACAAGGATCATCTAGACTAAGTCCTCAAAGTACTAGTTGATTTATTTAATTTTACTGAGAAGCAGGGTTAGGATCCATTCAACAACAAATATGCACCTGTTCTGGATCAGGCTTTTTGTGTGTGTTTGTGTGCTGGAGATACAGCAGTGAACAATTACGCCTTTCTTATTCTCAGCATAGTGGCTTTCCCAGCACACTACATTGCAGCCTATCATATTAAGAAATAAAATAATTGAGTAAAATATGAGTAGGAAATCAACTGCCTGTAAAACTGAATACTCTGAACTGCAATTACTGGGACAGTAATAGAATCCAAGTGAGGATAAAAAATATTTCCTTTGAAAATACTGTAGAAACAGAAAATGAGTGTAGCATAGTAAAATGCACTATTGTGTCTTCATAAGATACACGAATGATAATATCAGCCCTTTGTATAATGATGGCTTTTGGTGCTGAGGAATTCCATTAACTCTAAAATATAAAATTCCTAGCCACAGAATACACTCTCAGAATTTAAAAAAAATTTTTTTTTTAAGACTGCCTTCTCAGCTCCTCTGCCTCCCTAGAAAAACTGATAGTTTATTCCTATTTTCCAAGAATGTAATGGTCTATTTGGTAATTTTGAAAAGTACTCTTGGAATATAGATCAATATCTCAAGTTTTCACATGAGCAAGAGGAATTCAGTGGGAAGGCTGCCATTTCAGATTTATTTAATGTAATAAAGAAGCATTTATTTCAGAATGTAAAGTTAATAAATAAAGAAATACCTATTAATAAAACATAGTTAAGTCTAATTTCCAAAGGTACCAGTTAAAAAAAATCCCAAACCCCTGAGCTGTTGACTTGTGCAAATTTCACTGCATATAGCTTTTCTTCTACAAATTTAAGGATCAGGAAGCTCTATATTAATGTTATTGAAAATACTCTTTATTGCCACCTGTATTTTTTTCTTTTTTTTTAATTTTTTGTTGTAGATGGACATAATACCTTTATTTTATTTATTTATTTTTTAATGGGGAGCTGAGGATGGAATCCAGTGCCTCACACGTGCAAGGTAAGTGTTCTGCCACTGAGCCGCAACCCCAGCCCCCTGCTTAGTCTTTTTAGGGAGGAATTTTTTTTTTTTAAATGTTGATGAATTACTGGAGACCTAGGGCTAATACCAGAATAGGCAAAACTTTTTACTAGAATATACACACACAAAGAAATCACTTTGTATTACCTTAAAAGCAGATGAAAAAATTGGACAAGTAACAAATATTTCATTTCTTAATGGCCTGAAAAGTAAATTGAAATGTAAAAGTATATTTTAGCAATTTTAAGGCAATTTAAATGTTAAAATAGGAGTCCAAATGAAACTATATTTATTAATTTGCCAATTTTTTTTCTGACAAATCATTAATCTTGATGGGGTTTTTGTTACATGCACAAGGCTGTCTGAATAGGATCTTTACACAATTTTTTCTAAAGATTTATTACCCTAAAAATATCCTCTACTAATCATTAATTTACTTGTTGATTATGACCAATTTAAATAATTTTAATAAAGAATAAATTTATACTAGATGCTTAAGCAACTTAGACTTTTTTGCTGTAAATGCTTTTTTTCTTTATCACCTATGAGCTAGAATCCAGAATAAGATATTAAACTTACTGTTATGTTTATTATTAGCAAAATAACAAGAGTATATAATAATAGGCAAAAATTTTGTGTTTGTATCTGTGTGTATTTATAGCCTTAGTTTAGTAACAACCATACAATGTGGAGATTTATTACTATCATATTAGAATGCTGAACCTAAATCTGAAATTTTAGTTCATTACAATGCAATCTGTGAATACAGGCCAAGAAAAGGATGGAACGGGAGACTATCATGCTAAATGAAATAAGTCAGTCCCCAAAACCAAAGGCCAAATGTTCTCTCTGATATGTGTATGCTAACCCATAACAAAGGAGGGTACAGATGGGAATATTAGAAGTTCATTGGATTGGACAAAGGGGAATGAAGGGAAGGGAGGGAGGATGGGAATAGAAAGACAGTAGAATGAATTTGACATAACTTTCCTATGTTCATATATGAATAATGACCAGTGTACCTCCACATCATGTTCAACCACAAGACTGGGATCCTAATTAGAATAAATTATACTCTTTGTTTGAACAATATGCCAAAATAGACTTTACGTCATATATATCTAAAAAGAACAAAGGAATAAAGAACTTGAAGAAAAGTTACAGACTATAGCATTATAAGGTATTTACTGTCAATGAGGGAGTTCACCAAAACCAATAATGACCGATCCAAACTTGCTTTGGACTCCATTTCTAAACCAATTCTGATTGGATCATACAAGGTCAGTCTCACTCCAGACCCAGTAGTTCCTTTTACAACTCTTTTTTTTTTTTAATTTATTTTTTTTATTGGTTGTTCAAAACATTATAAAGCTCTTGACATATCATATTTCATACATTAGATTCAAGTTGGTTATGAACTCCCAATTTTACCCCAAATACAGATTGCAGAATCACATCGGTTGCACATCCACATTTTTACATAATGCCCTATTAGTAACTGTTGTATTCTGCTACCTTTCCTATCTTCTACTATCCCCCCTCCTTCCCCTCCCATCTTCTCTCTCTACCCCACCCACTGTAATTCATTTCTCTCCTTGTTTATTTTCCCATTCCCCTCACAACCTCTTATATGTAATTTTGTATAACAATGAGGGTCTCCCTCCATTACCATGCAATTTCCCTTTTCTCTCCCTTTCCATCCCACCTCATGTATCTGTTTAATGTTAATCTTTTCTTCCTGCTCTTCCTCCCTGCTCTGTTCTTAGTTGCTCTCATTATATCAAAGAAGACATTTGGTATTTGTTTTTTAGGGATTGGCTAGCTTCACTAAGCATAATCTGCTCTAGTGCCATCCATTTCCCTGCAAATTCTATGATTTTGTCATTTTTTAGTGCTGCATAATACTCCATGGTGTATAAATGCCACATTTTTTTTTATCCATTCATCTATTGAAGGGCATCTGAGTTGGTTCCACAGTCTAGCTATTGTGAATTGTGCTGCTATGAACATCGATGTAGCAGTATCCCTGTAGTACGCTCTTTTAAGGTCTTCAGGGAATAGTCCAAGAAGGGCAATAGCTGGGTCAAATGGTGGTTCCATTCCCAGCTTTCCCAGGAATCTCCATACTGCTTTCCAGATTGGCCGCACCAGTTTGCAGTCCCACCAGCAATGTACAAGAGTACCCTTTTCCCCACATCCTCGCCAGCACTTGTTGTTGTTTGACTTCATAATGGCTGCCAATCTTACTGGAGTGAGATGGTATCTTAGGGTGGTTTTGATTTGCATTTCTCTGACTGCTAGAGATGGTGAGCATTTTTTCATGTACTTGTTGATTGATTGTATGTCCTCCTCTGAGAAGTGTCTGTTCAGGTCTTTGGCCCATTTGTTGATTGGGTTATTTGTTTTCTTATTGTTTAATTTTTTGAGTTCTTTGTATACTCTGGATATTAGGGCTCTATCTGAAGTGTGAGGAGTAAAAATTTGTTCCCATGATGTAGGCTCCCTATTTACCTCTTTTATTGTTTCTCTTGCTGAGAGAAAACTTTTCAGTTTAAGTAAGTCCCATTTGTTGATTCTTGTTATCAACTTTTGTGCTATGGGTGTCCTATTAAGGAATTTGGAGCCCGACCCTACAATATGTAGATCGGAGCCAACTTTTTCTTCTATCAGACGCAGAGTCTCTGATTTGATATCTAGCTCCTTGATCCACTTTGAGTTAACTTTTGTGCATGGCGAGAGGAGGGGATTCAGTTTCATTTTGTTGCATATGGATTTCCAGTTTTCCCAGCACCATTTGTTGAAGATGCTATCCTCCCTCCATTGCATGC